CCAATGGAATTGGCTCCTTATTTTCCCGTCCAGGTTACTCACTGCTGCTGTGTCGTGTTTTCTTCCTGCATTGCCTTTGCTCGTCTGTCATCGTGGCTGGCCTCTGTCACCATCCCTGTAGAGCCTGGGGCCACCCGCCTCCTTCCTTTCCTGACAGGAGGTGTCCTGACACATGGGGGCTCTCTTGTGGCCAGCTGGGTTGCATGGAGGTGCCTCTGGTGGCCTTGGTGACTGTCGCCGGCTGGGGCACAGCTGCTCCTCACTGGGCGGTGGGCCCTGCCTGGCGAGTGGCCCCGGCTGGGCACTGGGGGCCCATCGCTGCCCTGGCCGCTGGAAGGAAGCAAACCTAGAACCCGTAGGCTACCGTCTGCTTGGAGGACACTGCCGTGATGACCACCCTGGGGAATGAGGGGTCCTGGGGGAATCAGAGCCCTCTCTCCCGCCACCCTAGAGCCCGGTGACGCAGTGACCGAGGGCCAGGGCACAGGCGGGGGTCTCAGGGGTCAGGGGTCTCAGGGTCGGCCTGGACGGCAGGGGAGGATGTGCAGGCTGAGGGGTGGAGCGTGTCTTGGGGACATAAAGCCTGGCCTGCCAGGTGGGAAATGGAGACCTGAGCTCCACGGAAAACACCGGGAGCTGTAATCAATTTCCAAAGGGCCTTTTTTCCGTGATGCTGTTAAGAAAGACAAATTAGTAGCATGGCACAAGCGTCACCTGGAAAGGCCATGAGCTGGTGACAGACCAGCTCCACAGAAACCCTCCCTTGGGCTCCAAAGCAGCAGCAAAGGGCTGGCCTGGCGCCCTCGGGCAAAAGCAGAGGCCTGGGCTTGGCGCTCTCCTGCCCTCCCCCCGCCGCTCTTTGCTCCCCCTGCTCCCCGAGAGTCTCTGTTCCTACCCCTGGCCGTGGTTGCCCAGCAGGTGGGCAGGGTCTGCCCAGACTTGGCCCCTTCACTTGGGGGCGCTGGTGACAGGGAGGGCTGACCCGAGATGAGGTTCCTGCCATCAGTGACACTGAATGGGGTTTCAGACAGGCTGGTGTCACGCCGACACCCACGGCACAGGCGAACTCATGCCCGAGGCCCAGGGAGGGGGCTCCCTTCCAAGCACTGGCGGAGGCCAGGCCTGCCCGGTGCCCCCACAGCCGCAGCGCCCACCGCTGATGTGGCTGTTCACGTCATGCCTGCTCGTCCTCACGGTGCCTGGCGGGGTCTCAGCCCAGGAGGCAGCAGTCAGGCCCACGGGGCGGGCAGGGCAGCCATGGAGGAGCTCCTCCGCCCCGAGCCGGGGGAGCAGGAGGGACAGGACAGGAGCTGAGGGTCGGCAAGAGCCAGGCCGGGGCTGGCCGGTCAGCAGAGGGGAGTGGGGGCTCTTCCCCCTCCCAACTCCGCAGCCTCAGACATGGCCCTGCCCCTCAGGCCGCCCCCTCCGTGGTCCAGGCTGGCTCCCGGCAGCCGTGGGACCTTGAGTCAGTTGTGAGGAAGCGAAGGCCGCCACAGGCCGTGGACAACTCCTCCAGTGACTGTAGCCAACGTCCGCCGGGCACTTCCCTGGGGCCAGTGCTGTTCTGGAAGCTTCAGTGACCTTGTTCCGGGCGTGCAGCACTTATCCCTGCAGTTACTTTAAGATGAGGAGACGCAGCTGGTGGGGTGGAGGTGCCAGCGGGTCCGAGGCGGGTGGTCTTGCTGTCCGAGGGCCACTGTGGCCAATCGCCGAGCGGAGTTTCTTCCCTCCCAGTCCTGGGTGCTGGACGCTCCACACCCAGGTGCGGTGCCTGCCGCGGCCTCCGTCCTTGGCTTGCAGACGCCGTGTTCTCCCCGTGTCCTCGCAGGGTTGTCCCTCGGCGTGTCTGTGTCCTCATCTCCCCTTCTCATAAGGATCGGGGCCTGCCGGGATGACCGTGCTTAACTTTACCTCCTCCGTGAAGACCCTGTCCCCAGACACAGGCGCGTCCGAGGTGCAGGGGGTGAGGGGCTCACGTGTGGGTCTGGGGGGCCCAGCACGGCCCCTGACTGAGGCCCCCCCTTCCCTGCCTGGCAGCACGAGGCTCTGTCCCACATCTGGGGACATGTGGGCCCCTCACCAGCCAGTAACTGAATCCCAGAGGACCCCCCTCCCCCGCCAGAGCACTGCCCGCAGGAAGGGGCGGGGCCACCAGGAGCCTGAGGAGCAGGAGGTCCACGAAGGCAGCCACACACAGAGCCCCATCGCTCTGTCCCGGCCGGGTGCCCATCCTGGTTTCCCCCGCCCCCAGCGCGGCGCCTTCCTCTGGCCCCTCCCCCTCCCCCCAGCGGGCTCCCGCTACGCTACGTGTCCACCCCACGGCTACGAGCACTCGGTTTGTGCTTGGGTCCCGGTGACGGGAAAGCTGATGCTAATGGGAAAAATATCACTCTCCACCGGGCACGTAAATGCCGGGTGTCCTTCTTGTGTGAAGCCATAATTCAGTAGATTCCAGGCGATTAGGCCTCCAGGTTTCCATGGCAACGGCTCGTCTCTCACCTTTCTGGCCAGGACCGGGAGCTCGCAGGGAATCCACTTGTTTACCGACAGCCTGAAGCCACCGACACGGTGGCTCCCGACGCCCGGCTCTGGGGCCAGAAGCCAGGATCATGTGGCTCGTCCAGGCCGAGACCCCCAGCATCGTCCTCCCAGGTGCCAGAGCCCACCCCCCGCTGCCGGCCGAGGAAACCGCGAGCGAGTGTGGGCTCTGCCTGGCGGAGGGTCTTCAGCCTGCAGACTGGGGTGGTCGGCAGAGTGGCAGCCCCCCAGACATCTGCATCCTAACCCTGACCGCCAGGGCGCCAGGCGAAGGGGCTTCGGGTTGCAGATGGCGTTGTGATCAGTTGACCTCACAAAGGGAGATCACCTGGATTACCTGGGGGACCCCGTGTGACGGCGGGAGAGTCGGGTGGAGTGAGGAGACGTAGGACACAAACTGAGCCAGCCACAGGGCTGGGCACTGCCCACGGATACGCCAGGCCCATGTGGCCCTGGCGCTGGCTGGAGAGCGCCCATGACACGAGCTGCCCACGGCGCAGGACAGCACAGGGCAGCGCGGCCACCTGCCGAGAGGACCTGGGCCACGTCCCCCCGGTGCTCCCAGACAGCACGGCCAGTGGCCCTCAGCGCGCGCGACTCGCGGCCAACGAGGGTGGACGGTTTCCTTAAAGGACCAAGCCACCAGCCAGACTTCTGTACTCGTTTATGTTTATTAACAGTTTATTGTTTGTCATTGGCCTTACTTTCACATTACAATTCCATGTTTTGTCAAGGTCTTTTTCAATTCTCATTTTGGTAAAATAAATAGAGATAGTGAACCTTTAGGTCAGCGCTCTCTGAGCCCTGGTTAACTTCATGATTGGATTTTCGCATCAGACCTGTGAAGACACAGCCCACGGCGGGCGGCCGGGGAGGGGTGTCGTCCCCTGGAGCCATCTGCACTGCGCCAAGCGGTGGTTTTGTCTCCAAACAGACACGTGTTGGGCGAGAACCAGGCTGAGCCAGCGCGTCAGCTGGGGCGATCGCACCCCTCGGCGTCTGTGGGTGGAGCTGGGACCTCCACAGCCTTCCGGACCCCAGGCTGCCTGCTCACCCCAACGTGGCAACAGGAGTTCATGCCAGAACCTTCCGATGGGAGCTCCCGTCTCTAGGGAGCAGAAGGCCACCTGCTTTGTCCTGCCCTGTCAGGCCCTGTCCAGCTCCAGCATGGACCCCAGGCGCTGCCAGGCGGGTCCCACCCAGCTGGAAGACGCTCTGGACCCGCAGCACGAGGGGCCGAGACCCTTTCTCACAGCAGCTCCTGCCTGTGCTCCCGCCACGCGGCTGCGCGAGGGCAGAATTCACCGAGCCGCCGCCTCCTCTCCCGGAATAATCCTGATTCCCAGGGAAAACGGAGAAAAGCTTTCAGAATCCCATCATTGTGGCTGCGCTGTCTGCGATCGCGCACACCGGCTCTGCGGCCCTGTGGGCTGCACTGTCCACAGGCTCCTCTCCTGCCCCCGAGCTCACACGCACGCACACGCTCCGACACACGCTAAAGCAACTGCCAGGGACTGTTGCGTCGCAGACTGCAAGATGCAAACCGTGGTCACGCCAGTGTGCGGGACGGAGGCTGCAGATGGGGCTATGTTTACCCACAGACCCTCTCGGGCTCCAGCGGGGCTTCCGCGTCTGCATGTGAAGAGTGTGTGCAAAGCAGAGGGGCCATGGTGCCCGCACGTGTGCCCTGTGTGCAGACCGTGGTGCCCGCACGTGCGTGGGCACCGTGTGCAGGCACAGGCAGGAAGGCCTGCGGGGAGAAGCAGCACTGTGCAGGGAAACGCACCCGGGGGTTAAGGCAGCGGCTAAACCGCCAAGGACCGGCCGCCTCTGTCCACAGCCGCGGGGCGCCTTCCTGCTCACAGGCTGTCAGAGGGGCTGGGGCTGGAACCCGGAGACCCGGGTGCAGTGGAGGGCGGGCTGTGCAGGGGCTGGGCCCAGCCGCCTCACACCGTGGTGTCGCGCCCAGCGGACAAGGATGGGCGGGCGCAGCAGCCCGGGAGCTCCAGGAGGTGCTGGCTCTGGGCTGCTCCCTTCCACACTCGCCGGCGGGAGGGGACGTCTCCATCTGCCCCCTCCGTGTTTCTCGTGTTCCCAGCATCCTCCAGCCTGCTGGGCACGTTCCTGCTCGCCGGCACACACCGCGAGGACGGCCAGCCTGGGGCAGCGTCTCTTGCCTGCTCCTGGCCAGACGGGGTGGCCGCCCCAGGGCCCGCGGAGCCGCCGCGCTGCTTCTCCACCAGGGCTCCGTCTTTTTGTAGCTAATGCTCTGATTACATGGAAAATAAAACGAGTGTGTTTCCCCCTTTAAAAATCTCAGGAAAAAACAGAGCAGGAGAGGGTGAGTGCGGCGTTGTGGCGAGTCCCCGGCGCCCGGACGCTGGTGCCTGGCAGAAGCCGCCGTCCAGCCGAAGCCCCCCCCCACTTCCTAGACGTTACAGCAAAGACAAAAGCAAGCGGCAAGGGCCCTCCTCCAGTCGTCAGTAGCGAGGGCAGGAACCAGTGTTCACGTGGGCAGCAGCAGGGCGACGCTACGCTCGGACGCGCGGTGGGGTCACTATGTACAGCAGGCGGCGGCCTGGCAGGGTCCGGTGGTGCCGCTATCTGACCCGCTTCTCCACCGAGTACACGGAGATGTAGTAGTCGTTGCTTCCCACCGCCAGATGGGGCTGCAAGGGGAGAGCAGGCGAGCAGTGAGCAGGGCAGAGGCTGGGGTTGGGGACAGAGGCTTGGGGTGCAGGGCAGGGCCCAGGGTGTGGGGCAGAGGCTTGGGGTGCAGGACAGGGCCCAGGGTGTGGGGCAGAGGCTTGGGGTGCAGGACAGGGCCTGGGAAGAGGGGCTGGGCTGGGGTGTGGGGCAGAGGCTGCTCCTGTGCCCCTAGCCAGCTCCAGCCCGGGGTGCCATTAACCGCCGCCCCCACCGCTGCGCTCGAGGCAGGCGCGGGAATGGTGGCCCATTAACTGCCAGTTTCTAGCGGGGATGATGCATCATCCAGCTCCGTTACGGGGGATTTGCATACTACCCACAGTTCCCTGCATATTTCTTTTCAGGATCGCCCCCCAGGGACGGTTCTGGAAATCGAATGTCGTGTGTTTCGGCAGAGAGCCGCACGCCGGGCCCCCGTGGAGCCTCATGCCGCAAGAAAGCAGGCTGGCAGAATCCTAATTTTAAAAAACAACGGCCTGCAACCACATGGCTAGACTGTAATTACGGACGGGGGAGTCGCACAGATCTGGCTCCGCAGGGACAGGGCCCCCGAGCGACGTTGGCGCGCAGTCTCCCAGGGGAAGGCCTCGGCGCAGGGCCCAAAGACCCAGCTCTGCCCCTGCCTGCTCTGTCGTGGGCGAGTGCAGCGGGGGCCGTGGTCCCCGCCCGTGTGCCCCCCGCCCCACCCGGGGGCACAGACCCAGTGTGGGTGGAAGGCCAGGCAGCTGATGGCGCCGACGCGCTGGCCCATGAAGCCGTCGTAATACTTGATGTTGTTGATCAGCTCGCCGCTGCCGTTGTAGATGGCGGTGAACTGGTTCACGGAGCCGCTGTGGGGAGGGGACAGCACTTTGGGGGTGGCTGAAAGATGGCCCAGAGGCCCAGACTGCAGGACCCCACGTGCCCACTTGTGAGGACCTGGGGCCATCCCCTGAGGTGGCTCGAGGGGTCTAAGAGCTCGTTCCAGGCGGGCGGCTTCGCCAGGGCGGAGAACTTTGGTTTCCATTTCAGGATGGTGCCGTGACGCCCCCCAGCCCACCCTCTGCTGGGCAGAGAGGCTGGAAGTCAGGGGCACCTACCATGCGATCAGGTTTGCCTGGGGGTGGATGTCCAGGGCCGTCAGCCCCTTCACGATCTGAAGGACGTTCACAGACTCAGGCATCCGTGGGTCAAAGACACGCACATCTCCATTGACGCTGCCAAGAGAGGGTCACAGTGACGCCCCTGACCTGGAGCCCCCTGGAGGGACCTGGCCTGGGGGGCCGGGAGTCGGCACCGGAGGTGTGGGTTCGCGTGCCTGTTGCACACGGACTGCTCAAGGTCAAAGCCATCTTGACCCTTGGTGCCCCTAGTGAGGGCCCCCCTCTGGCAGTGCCCACAGACCCACCCCCGTGGTCCTCGGCCTGGCTACCCGCCAAGCTCCCCCAGCACCACAAAAGACCCGTGCGTCGTTTCCAGGGCACCTGCTGGGCCCTGCTGCAAAGCATGACGTCCCCTGTCTGGAAACGGCACTCAGCAAAGACGCAGGAGGGCACAGGAGCCTCTGTTCCCCGTCCAGGCACAGAGGTTGGATTTCGTGTGATGGAGGCTCCGGCTCCGGGGCCTCCTCTTCCAACCCTGGCAGGGTCCGTCCCAAGAGTTATGTTAGGTTTTTACATCACAAACAAGGGGGAAAGAACAGCTCTTTCAAGAAATGGTGGCTTTTTGATAGTAAATTACATTTTGCCGTCCCTTTAACGGGCAAATAAATATTCGCTGCTCTCAGCACAGTATTTACAGAGCAGCAGGACTGGATTTATGTGCAGACGATGGCTGCAGGCGCAGCCGTCCCGCCCGTCCATGTGGCTGGCAGACGCACGCCGCCCCCGGCCCCCGCTGCCCCGCGCGCTCTGCGACGGGCCGAGCTGAGGACACTCCCCCGAGCCGCGGCCAGGCTGCCCCGGCAAGGAGAGCAGATGTGTCCCCACCGCCCGCTCGCGCTGTGCCCTGACCTTTCTGGCCAGTCCCGGAGCAGGAGTTAATTACTGCCCGGAAATGCTACCCTCTCCCAGCAGTTTAAATACCAAAGACATATTTTAACTGGAGGGGAAAATGTTTTCACAGCAAAACGTCTCACGAACATTTCCGTGCGCATTACCTCACGCTCATGATGCGGCCCTCGGGGTGCTTCTGCAGGTAGGCCTTCACCACCCAGGCCGTGTGCTCGCGGTACGTCATGACGCGGCTGCGGGGAGGCGGTGTGGTTTACTTTGCGCAGAGGGAAGCGGAGCCCCACGGAGGGGCCAGGCTGCCTGTGCGTGGCCAGCAGGCCTCTGCCCAGCCGCCCCCACCCGGCGCCAGTGCCCACTTGGGGACGCAGATCCCTCCTGGGACCCTGCTCTAGCGGGGACCCTCTGGTCCTCCCTGGCCTGCTTGGGGCTGGGCCCTGAGAAGGCAGGATTCGCGGTTCTGCTGCAGCTGGAAGCCCCAGACAGAGGTTCAGGACGAGGCAATGCAGGCCTGGCATGGCTGGGCGCGGACGCTGCCCTGGTCCAGGTCCCCTGCCCCTGCGGAGAGCCAGCCTGGCGCCAGGCCCTGTGTGGGAGGAGGGTCCCTCCTGCCAGGGCAGGACGCAAAGCCACGCTGACCGCTGCTGTTTGGGTCGATTCCTGAGCGACCACCTGCCCAGGTAGCTGTTTTTGGATGGGGCAGGGGAGGTTTGACTAACAGTTTGACTGAGAGGTGACCCATACAAGATGCCCCTTCGGAAGTGCACAGCCCAGTGGAGTTTAGTGTCTTCACAGATTTGTGTGACTGCCACCACCACCGAGTTTGGGGATGTTTTCGTTACCCCAGGAAGACACTGCCAGTGGCCTCTCCCTCCCACTGGCCGAGGTGCCCAGGTGGCTCTGTCCCCTTCACGAGTCCCCGCTTTCCAGGAAATGGGGGTATTTAATGCACATGTTGTCCTGGGAGCAGGACCTGGCCCTGACGGTCACCCACTGTCACTGGGGCTGTGGAGCTTGGTGCATCCTGCCAGGGAGGCAGCAACATCCGCCTACAGGGCCGCCCAGGCCTCACCGAAAGCAGCAGTGACAGCGCACCTCGCTTAGGCAGAGCTGCGCCCACAGGTGTGCGCCCAGACCCCTCTCCCTGGACGCTCATACATGCAACCCAAGAGGCAGCGCTGGCGGCGTTCTTGGAGCCCGGGTGTGACAGTGAAGCTCAGGGGTGGCGGGTGCCGGCCAGGGCCCTGCCCCCCACCAGCCTCTGCCTGAGGACACAGGCACATTCTGGACGGCCTGTCCGCTGCGCCCTCCGTGGGCAGGGGCACTGGCCTCGGTGGGACGTGCCTGGCTGGCTTTGGGAAGCCACCCCCCTGGCTTAAGTGCCCCGTAGTGGGCTCTTGGGGGAAGCTTTGCATCTCACTGAGAAATCTGGACCAAGCACACTGGCAGTGACTGGACTATTACTATTAATATCCAGAAAGTGCCCTGGGCTGGAAGGACGGGAGCGGGGAGGTGGGCTGAGTTACCACTCGCTGAGCGCCATCCTCCTGTCGTAGACGCGGATGGAGCCGTCGCCAAGGCCAGCCACAATGAGCGAGCGGTGGGAGTCGCAGGACAGGCTTGTCACACAGCTGTCTGCACCCGTGGGGATGTCCTAGGGCCAGACACACAGAGCCCAGTGAGGGCCAGCCCTGCTGCAGCTTCCTGCTGCCCCCGCGGCGCTGGGACCCGGTTTACAGCTGGCAGTTTCGCTGTCCCCTCCCTGCTGTGGGGCTGCTGCCATCTCTGCTCAGGAGCCCGGAGCTGCAGGGATGGGTGGGGGCTGGCAGGGGACTGAGTCAGGGCCTCGCCTTCCGAGCAACAGCCCGGCTACACCTGCGCCCACCAGCCTTGCGAGGCAGAGCCCGTGTGCCCCGTCCCCAGGTGGCAGCCGGCAAACACCTCTGGCTTTCACTGCCAAATAAACTTTCCAGCATCTCCGTTTCCTAAAAAGAAAGATGCACATCCCAGCAAGGAGGAATCCTTGTCAGCTCCCGCTCGAAACTCGAGTGGGCCGAGAGAGTCCGGGAGACGCCCTGGCGCTGCTGGCGCTGGAGGTGGGCGGGGGGAAGGGTGCCTGTCTGGAAGAGCAGGAGACGAGACACGGCCAGGAGAGGGGACAGAGCTCTTCCAAGCACGGCAGCCTCAGCAACTGAGGAGGATGAGGATGAGGGGGAAGTCCCCTGCAGGGGGAGCAATCACACCCCTGGGAAGCCAGAGGGCCATGGAAGCCCCGCCATCCTCTGCAAGGACAGCAGCCACCCGAGGTCAGAGGAGGACGCGTCCTGGGAGCGTCCCTGTGGCCTGCTACAGCCCACCTGGTAACAGGCGCTACCCAGAGGAACAGGAAACCCGACTGGCCACGTCTCCAGCGGGTACAGGGCTGCCCCGGAAAGCAAGCGTGATCTCGGGACTGAGGGCAGGACGGAGGGAGGCTGACCAAGCAAGCTCGCGGGGGAAGGCCCCACCCGGCGGGAAAGTGCTGCCACCCGGGGGACCCACGGCAGCTCCCTCGCCTCCTTCCTGTGCCGGCTGCGCCAGCACGCGCTGAGCTGTCTCGGCCACCACACGGCCTGTGGCGTCCTCACGGGCAGGGCCGGGGAAGGCTTCCGCCCTGCACACCTGGGGACCTGGAGGAAGGAAACCCTTGGCCCTAAAGCCACCTCGAGTGCCCCAGGGGCTCTGTGGTCTCACGCTGCTCCCGCTGGGCCCTGTCACTTTCCCAGGGTGTCTTTCGCTCCCAGGAGCGAAACCAACTACTCCTCTTTTTGTTGAAACTAAAAAGGTGCTTTAGAGGCACACAAGCGATTAAGTATTCTAACCTAACATATCTCGCCCTCCTGATTTCTGATAGTCCCTCATTTGCTCAGAAAAGTATTTGAAGATAACTAGGAAGAGCACAGGCCTAGTCACAGGGCAACCCAGGGTCGAAGCGTCGCAACTGACCCCAGGCTTCAGGGAGAGTTTGCATCTCCCTCCCAGCACACGGCCCTGTCCTTCCAGATCGACCTTTGCCCCCAGGACGGCTGAGACCTGACCCGAGGCTGCGCTCGTGCTGCGGCCACAGTTCTTGGTTCCGTGTGACCGGGGCGGAATCAGCCCAGGGACTGGCGGCGCTCGGGGGACCCAGCGTGGTTACCTGCACCTTCATCTCGCGGTCCGTGTCCCAGATCCGGACGATCCGCACGTCCCCCGAGCTCATGAGGAGGCCGGTCTCTTGCTCCCAGTCCACCACCATCCCGGCTCCTGGGGAGACACGGTGGGACGCGGCGGCGTCACCCCACGGCCCTTGGGTGGTCTTGGGGGCCTGAGAGCCAGCAGCTCCCAGGAGCGCCCGCCACCGCCCCCACACATCGCACGGGTCCACATCCGCACGCAGGCGCAGGCGGGGCTCCCAGTGTGCCCCGAAGCCAGGCAGGGCAACACTCCCAAGGCGGGAATTCCGAGTCTTCCCCAGAACCCTGCCGTCCCCAAGGCATCCGTGAGAGGGAACAGCATGACCCCAGAACTGCTTGTGTAGGACGCCCCCCTTCCGCACGCTTGGGCACAGCGGGCGGCACTAGGGACTGCAGAATGGCCTTCAAGGCAGGAAGCTAAGAGTCTTCCTCGAGGAGCTCAGCACAGGCCAGCTGCACCTGACGGCATTTCAGGGGCGGGGCTGCCTGCTGATGGGTGACCTGCGTGTGCGAGGGACAGCCACAATGGGACAGCTGCCCTTTCCCATCTGGGGCTGGATGGGGAGACAGCAACCACACCCTACACGATGGCCTCTGTTTAAAACAAGATTTGATTTTAAAAGTTCAGCCCAGGCACGGTGGTTCACGCCTGTAATCCCAGCGCTTTGGGAGGCCGAGGCGGGAGGATCACTTGAGCCCAGGAGTTCAAGGCTGCAGTGAGCTGGGATGGCGCCACTGCACTCCAGCCTGGGTGACAGAGTGGGACCCTGTCTCTAAATATGAATGAAGTTTAATGATAAATATTTCATGCATATAGAAACGAACACAATAGAAATCCTCGTAGCCAACACCCAGATCTAATGGTTGCTAACACTTTGCCATTTTTCCTTTTTTTCTTTTTTTTTTAAGAAGTATAACTTTAGACTCAGTGAAAATATCACCTGCTCTCTCTGCCCCAGAGGAGCTGTCTTACAGGCTGAGGACATCTCCAGGGGCCTCTGAGCCTCTACATGCGCATGTCCACAAACAGTAAAATGCCTTCCACGTTCCAGAGAAGTCCATCAGTTTCACCGTGGAGCTGGTTTCCAGTAGCTTCTTCCCTTTAGCGCTGCGCTCTGAGGGTTACCCGACCCGACGCACTCGCGTCTGGCTAATGCACTCGATCTTCTGTGTACAACCTGCCGTCTACCAAACCCTCATCTGAGCCGTGCCCGGCTGTGTAAACCAAGACGCAGCCAACGTCTCCGCGTGTCCTTGTGTGCGACGGGGAGGAGGTATCTCGGAACAGAACTGGGGGCAGGTTGTAAGCACAGACCGCTTGGCTTAGCGGCAGACATGTCCCAAGTTCCGTCCTATTTAAAAACGAACCTGTGGGGAAAAACTGCTTTAATGGGTACCAGGTCTCCTTTCGGGGTGTTGAGAATGTTCTGGAACTACTAATAGAGGTGGTGGTTGCACAACTTTGACAATGTGCCAAATGCCACTGAAGTAGACGCTTTAAAAAGGTTAATTTTGGCCGGGCGCAGTGGCTCACGCCTGTAATCCTAGCTCTCTGGGAGGCCGAGGCGGGCGGATTGTTTGAGCTCAGGAGTTCGAAACCAGCCTGAGCAAGAGCGAGACCCCGTTTCTACTAAAGATAGAAATTAGCTGTACAACTAAAAATATATAGAAAAAATTAGCCGGGCATGGTGGTGCATGCCTGTAGTCCCAGCTACTCGGGAGGCTGAGGCAGGAGGATCGCTTGAGCCCAGGAGTTGGAGGTTGCTGTAAGCTGGGCTGACGCCACGGCACTCTAGCCTGGGCAACACAGTGAGACTCTGTCTCAAAAAAAAAAAGTTAATTTTATATGGATTTCACCTCAATGAAAAAAGAAAAGAGAGACAAGAAAAAGAAAGGAGAAAGCCGCATCTATATGGCCCTCGGCTTGGTGCTCCTGGGCTGTGTGGCCCCCGCCTGGTCCCCTGCCTGGTCCCCTGCCTGGTCTCCCGCCTGGGTACCGTTGCAGGCCCTGGGCCCAGGCAGCTGAGTCCAGGGCACGTTCTTCCGGTCACTCTGCCAGGAAATGCTGCCACAGGTCGGCAGGAACAGAGAGGTGACCTGGGAACAGCATCAACAGGAACAGAACAAACAGAAGGAGGCAGCCAGAGCTTAAGCAAGAGAATATTCAAGATGCAAAAACCAGGAAACATCCTCGCCGGGGGTGAGGGGGGGTGACGCCCCAGAGTCCTGGTGTGCCCCCTCCTTGCTGGAAACTCTCCTGACTCAGAAAACCGAATTCATGAGAAAGGCGCGAACGCAGGGCCCTGAGCGAGCGAAGGTCACGCCCCTGACTCCTGGCCGGGCTCCGCCTCCAGGTTTCCCACGGGCCAATTTTTACTGGATTAGATGGTAGTGAAGTCCTTAGTAAGCACCATTTCTGTCTTTGGCCCTCTAT